CGAGTGTTTCCGCAGCGCAAGGTTTTTTTAAAAATGATTCTATAAATAAGTTTCACGCAAAAAAGATTCAAAATATAATTTGGTAATTGCAACATTTATTATTTGTCTGAATCTGTGCCACCTCCTCTCCACCGTAAGAAGAGTGAAAAAAGCTCGTACCCTGCGTCATACGTCATGCAATCGTGACTCAGTACCACTCAAAAATAACAAAATGATTTTAAAACAGTGGATCCTTCACGAAAAATGTCCGAGCTGTGAAGTATCCTAACCGTTAGTGTAACTTGCCGTCAAAAGATACCCAAAACCTTTATTGATGCAGCAAACCTGGACTGAACTTGGATAAACACATGCAGCTTAACACTTTAACCCAGGAGGAGTGACAGGCATCTAATTTCTCTTTATAGTATCATCCATAGAATGAAAGGTAAAGGTCAAAAGAAAAACGGAAATGATCACCAACTGACGAGGCGCTCGATGGTTACGAAACAAATTCTTTATGTCAGCGTCTTGAGACATGTATGGAGAACAGTATGGAGAATCTGCATGATGATGTTGGGGTGTACAGAGTTACGAAACACAACCTCTCCTTCGCAGCTGTCGTTTATCTAGTCACGCAACGCGCTCTCTCCCGCATTGCGTGAAAAGACCGCATATTAGAGTAACTGTTGCATGAAATGCTTCAAGATTGCAACATAACTCTAATATGAGATGTAAAATTGAAGTGACCTTCAGAGTCTCATCACCAAAGCTAAATCATTTATGACAGAACGTATATCAATTCATGCCCAACAAGAAATGCTAAATTACATGTTTATTGCCAGAAGGATCCACCATTCAAAGACAGAGTTACCTTAAAATCACTATTTACATCATATATATTTTTGGCTATTACTTTTAACGTGATATGTGTTTATTTCTTTACAAAACATTTTATTAATACTGTATCTACATATCTTCATTCTAAGGTATGTTTTAAGCAAGCGGCTCAACTTTGGCTCCGAAACAACGTTTTTCCACAACACTTTACTGCATTAAAATTAACCAACCACTATTAACAACCGTGTTATGAGATTAAGTTATAAAGAGAAGCCATACATTATGCAATACGCTAAAGAAAAATGCGCTCGTTCTGTTATACTTTTGAGATGTTCTATTACTAACATCCCGTCAAAAAAAAAAAACTAATTACACTGTACAAATCTGAACGTGAACCAAAAGAACAAATTTGAAAACTACAATTCTAGTACTTCTAAATAACAAACAATGTATGGAAAACTTGCAGTTGTGTGGCTCTGAGAGAGGCCACAGACGAGCAAGATTTAAAATCAAACTGTACTATAACTTCAAAGAATGCACCACATCTGATGGTACCTCAAATATTTTAAATTCGTCACCATACACAGATTAACATTTGCAGTAGCTTTCTACTGCTAATTCGTAAATATGATCCAATCCCAGCATCTCCATGAACAATGTTGCAAAACAAACTGTTTTGAAAATTTTACTGTGTTAAATGTACAAAATAGCCTGTAACAGAATTTTCTAACGAAAATGGCTTGGAAAACATAATTTACATTTTCCAAAACCATAAACACTGAGCTTATTTGCAAAAAATTTTATGTTGCCCTTAAATTGTCCAAATCTGGTAGGGGGACTTGTGCTACTCTTTTTGAAAAACATTCAACACCCACAAAGTTAAGATTGGTGAGTTAATATGATGTTTTAAAAAAAGTTAATATTGGAGTTTTTTTGGAAACTTAGTAGAAAAATACTCCCTTTTTACTAAGTAAATAACAATTGTAGGTTAGCTAATTAATAATATAAGCTCTTTAGGGTCTGAAGGCAATAAGTTTGATGACATGCAGTGGACAAAGTTAAAACTTGTTTTGATACTATTAACCCAAATATGATTTACCAAACAACAAACATAGAGTTTTCTAATGAATGGCCTGATGAAGCAATATAAGGGGTAAAACTTTATGATAACTACTCAAATGTTGATTTTCAACAAACAAGATGAACAAAGCATAACTAGAATATAAAACATGTCCCTGAAAAATTGGAAATGGAACAATGGATACTGTATTTACAAAATGACTTCCATGTGAACTTTGAAACCAAACAACGAATGCTACCAATCACAGTTATACTGCAACAGTAAAATGTAACTGGGGAAACTTAACAATGTTACTAGACAGCACAAGAGAAAAAAAAAGGCATAGAATTTTATAGCAGCAAAACAATGGTAAATCACTATGAAAAATACAGCATGTTAATTTGAAGAACAGCTTCACAATAAAAAATTGTGATCTATCTCCAGAAGATTACGCTCCTGTGCACAGGGGCTTCCTTCAGAAACAAAACTTCCCAATGAAATATGAATTTTCATTTTACCATATGACTTAACAATTGACATGTGAAACACAACATTGGAAAAGAAAAGTGCTACAAGCAACACTGAAAAAATCCTACAAAAATACTGACCCATAACCTACAATGTTGTAAAACAGAAGTCTTCCCACATGTCTGTGTTTTCAAAAGCAAAAGTTCGCCTTCAATTTCATTAAATAGTAGCTTAATATTTTTAAAAAACTGACCCACCCAAACAGCCACCTTTAATGTAACAACCAAAGAATCTTTTAACTGCCACGCTTCAAACATACCTGAAATAAGGCTACTTGAATTTTAAATGGCTATAATTTGATAAACCTAAAGTATACAATGTACAAAAATTATTTTTTTCCTATGATACAGCCACAAGTACAAAAATTATATATTTAAGTGGTAATAATAAGCCCAGAAAAGCAACAAATTTCCCTTCATCAACAGTCAGACTCTGGTAGATATTCAAACTTGAGTCCATTTTGCACCAGCCTTGTGGAGTAGTGTTCCAGTTGCTTTAATAACAGACTAAATGTTGGTCTTGCTTTTGGACTGGATTCCCAGCAGTTTTTCATTAAGAAATATCTGCAAAAAGACACAGTGAAGGTCAAAACAATGCCATAACTCTTTAACTACCAAGATCTCATTGTTAATTTCCCCCCTCCAGCTGTTACACATTTTGTTGTAACCTAGTTATGAGAATTTGGTGTTTGATCAAGATAACCTTGACCTGATAAGTATGAGTATTCTCAGTACCTGATTGTTGGATAATTTATGGATTTTATGGGGAGAAGTTATGGGTTAAACACTTCTAGGAGATAAAGGATTAACCTCTGAATGCTCAGACCTGTTTCACAGAAGGATATCAATGTGGACTATTGGAACCCACCCATTCTTTATTTTATTATTAACAAAAGATGAGTTATTTAAGGGAATCACTCCCTTAAAAGAAAAAAAAAACAGGAAAAAAAAGAGAAAAATTGAAATTTTAAGCTTACTGCTCATTTTTTTGTTACGGAAATACAAGACAAAACTTACAAGTCATACGGACAGTTATTAGGTTGTGGTAATCTATGTCCAGCTTGCAGATGCTGCTCCATTTTTGAACTGTCAATAGCTTGATACGGTGCCTTAGCAAGAGTTACAATCTCCCATAAAACAACTCCAAATGACCACTGTGAAGGAATAAATGCCACATATGAGTCATTTATACAACAATGACGCATATCAATAAACAGGCTGATACCAAGGCCACAACCTGTAAAATCTGTTGCTGTTGTGCAAAGTCAATGTCATTGTGATAACAATTGCTCACGTATCCCTGATCCCTTTCCACGATCTACAAGCAAATTCTCTTTACTGATGGTGATATATTCCTCTGTAGGCCACTCATAAGAATTTGATCTCTAAGAGTGATAAGCATCCAAATTCTGAGTTGAGTGCTTGCAATATAAATTAAGAGTCCTAATTTTGACAAGCCAGGCAAAACCAAATTTATCTTCAAAGAGTGAAAAAGAAATGAAACATACCACATCACTTTTTTCTGAAAATTGACCCTCCTCTGCTAAACCCTCAAGTGCTGTCCATTTGACAAGTAATCTGGACCGTATTCCCTTGTCATTCAAGTTTGTTGTGTTCACATCTCTGGCCAAACTGAAGTCAGTGATCTTGATACTCAAATCATCATTGACACTAGAGGAAAACACTTTCAGATAAGTCTGATTTCCTGAGATGGAAAACCCAATCCCTTCTTAATTTATAAATCATCATCTCAAAATGCAGGGAAATATATTAACCCAAATACTCAGTCAGAGCAACAGCCTCTTTATGCCAGCAGTAAACTAGGGCATGTGACTATCAATTGCAAAGTGAAAACTATTAAAATAAGATTGCCTATAAGATTGGAGGCAAATGTTTGAAAAATCTTTATTTTCCTGATCATTACAAACCTGAATCATCTAAATTCTTCGCAAAAAAGAAGAAAACTAGAAATAAAAGGCAACTATGTGAAACACAAGGCGAACTTAGATAAGAAATACTTACATGCAGTTCTTTGCTGCAAGATTTCTGTGAACAATCTTTTTCTGAGTGATATAATCCATTCCTTTGCAGATCTCAATTCCAAACTCAATAAGCTGGCGCGAGGTAATTGTCTGGGGAAAAAATCAATTCAAAGTTTTTATTTAAAGATCTAACACATTCTACCTTTCTTTATCTTTGTAATTTTCATTGGTCTAATGATCAGAGGTACACCAATTTCTGGCCAACAATCCCAACCATTTCTTACAGTAGACTGTCTCCACACTCCCTATTGATGCTGTTCTTGTGTTCTCACCTGTACTCTTGCAGATGTTGCTCTTGAAATCTTCAAAAAGTGTCCTAGGTCTCCATTTCGTGTTAGGGGAGTTACGATGTAAGGTGGCGTTGAACGTTGAAGCACCACACCCACCAGTTCCACAACATTTGGATGCTTGAAGCCTTTTATGACCATTGCTTCCTGCATAAAAGAAGTGATGGTGTCCATGTCTGCTTCATCTGTGAAGGATAAATACTGAGTCAAAACACACATCTACAGGACTCTGTACTGCACTTAAAATATTTCATTAAAAGAATTGAATTAGTTGAAGAAAAGAATGCAGTAGGGAACTACAAACCTCACAAAAAGTTATTCAAACACCTCAATAGCCAACCAAAACCTCACACAAGTGCACAAAAATAACTCCTTTAAAATAATGCATGCTATCCCTAAACTAAGACCATGATAATGTCATAATTTTTGCATATCAAACTCCCACATTACTTGTTTCTGCACTTAACAAATCCACAAGTAAAATGGAAAAACTCCTCAAATTTACTAAATGGAGAATTAGCACTTTGTCTTTGAAAAGCCTAACAAAGGTCATTTGTGCTTCTGCACTATCCTCCTCCAGATGCCACCAGATCACTGTCCTACTCCACCAGATCACTGTCCTACTCCACTATCCTACTCCAGATGCCACCAGATCACTGTATTAGACACAAACTCCAGAAGACTTTCAGGTTTGGTCTTACCTTGAAGTGCTTTGATGGACACTTCCATTTTCTTGCGAGGTTGCTCTTCACTTAGTCCTCGAACAGAACCTTTGTACAAACATCCAAATGTTCCTGCAAAATAAATTTCCAATGGTGAACAAATGAATCAACTTTCCTTGTCACAGACAGTTATTTTTAACCATTTGGAACACTCGGAATAAATTGGCACATGACAATTGTCGCTTGAAACAATCTACCTCTTTCTTTACAGTAATTGGAATGTGATTGTATGTTTATAGGCCAATCTGATCTTAAAAGCTTACTGTTAATAACTACACTTAAACCCAAGGGGCTAACTGTCAGCCACGTTGCTCAGTAATCAAAATTTAAAAGAGGAAAAGCAAATTTATGTGCCAGGAAATGAAATAACATCCAAAGTTCTTTGCATCTAACTAACCTCTATACAAAGGATCTCCAACTGACACTTGGTCTCTTGGTATTAAAACATCTGCAAGTTCTGTTGCCCAAAATTCATTTAATACTGTAAAAAGTCCTCCAGTATTCTGAGCTTCATCAGGAGCTGTGAAAAAAATCTTTATTAGTTACAAAAAACTAATACATCTACTTGTAATAAGGACACACTAGTGCAGTCAATATGTTATTGACAACTAAAACCAAAATATATGTAACAACTGACTTGATTTACCAAAACAAAAATCAATAAAAAACTCCCTTACTATTTCTTCTCTCCAACAAAGATTCTGTTTCATGATAAGATGACAAAGGTCTCTCTTGTATCCAAGTGTATTTTGTATCTGCACCAAATAAAGAGAGAATGAAATGAAACCCTTTACATAATTATGAATCAACTGACATAATTTACCAGAAGGTACAGTTTCCAAACAGACCCAAACACACCCATGTGAAAAAAACAAACAAACAAACAAACATACTAGACAAGCTTCCATGTTTCCACTGTCGTTCATGTCGTCGATGTTTATGTCTTACTCCGTGTCTGCCATCTCTACTGCTGTACTTTCCCTCTGATTGCTTTTGAATACACATATCACTACTTTCCTCGGGAATAATCAGATCAGTTGTTGAGGAGTCACTGCCACTTGTGTTAGCGCGGCCACGCCCTCCTCCTCCTCCTCCTCCTCCTCCTCCTCCTCCTCCTCCTCCTCCTCCTCCTGGAGGTTGATAATTAGGCCTTGGTGGGCTGTAAAACAGTCCTGGCTTTGAAGAATCCACTGTTTCATCAACTTCTTCTTCTTGTTGCTCTTCTTTTTTGTAAATCTTGGATGAACTGGTTTTTTACAAAAGAGAATTTCATCAGGCATCAAAGGAAATATATTCAGTAGACATAAAAGAATAAAGGTACGCGATACAAAGACCTGAAGTTTCACTGAAAAAATGTTGTGTCATAGAAATTTTTACACTGATTCTTACATTTAAGTTAAAAAATCAATTTCACTCAACATCTTTAGTAGAAAATCTCCCACCACCTTAGATGACCTCAGAGCACAATTCTGAAACCTATTGTTGACTTACAAACACGATACATAACATGTTCTATTCATAAGAAAACTATCTTATCACTTGTCTGTGAATGAGCTCAGGAGGTAGAAGTCGAAAACTGAAACCTTGATTAACAGAACTTGCTGGGACAAAATGAAATAGTCTGGATAATTGAGGGTCCGGATAATTGAAAAATATGAATATCAGTAAGGAACAAAAACTGATTAAATTAAGACAGCGACATTTAATCGAAAGAAAAGATCGCTCATGGTTCAAGGACACAATGATTGTGAATAACCATTCGCGATGCTGTGTAATAACTTGTTTATCTTGCATACCATGCTGAAAGAGCCTATAGAGTGTGAAATCTCATGTAGCAACAAAGCAACTCTAAGCCAATCAGACCTCAATCAAATGTTCTTCATTAGTTATGACACGTGTGAGCTCTGCTTTTGCTTTTTGAAAGCAAAACTTGCCTTCACTTTACTTTTCAACACTGTAGTTTTAAAAAGAAGAGGGCTACGGATCTTGATCATGACTAATAAAAATTCATGACAAAATTGGGACCAGGGAAAAAGTTTGGATGATCAAGAAATTCAGATAATTGAGGTCTGGATAATCAAGGTTTGACTATACTACTACTGAAAAAAAAACAAAGAGGAAAAATTGCCAACCCTATTTTACAATAGCCAACAAATTCACAGTCAGCAGCTTTCAAAGATGCACAACCATTGAAAGGACAGACTGCTAAGTAACAAACCTGCTGCTGCTGCGATACATTTCCACATCATCTTCAAACTCTATCTTCAACTTCCTCTGTCTCATACAATAACGAAACAGTAACACCAGCCCAACAACAGATATAATAACAGTCGTCAAGCCTGCACAGATTCCCACAACTTTACTGCGTGACCATGGCGAAGATGTAACTTGTTCGATGAAATTGTCATTTCCACCTGTAGAGAATTTCATGTAAACATTTGGTGTTGGATCAACTAATAATCCAAGTTGACATTTTTCTGTAATCTCATCATTTGTCTGCTTGGTATCATATTTATATTGGAAAGAGAAATGATGTCTTGGCCACTCATGGGGGTGAAGGGTAAAGTGTCAAAAATGATAATTGATCTACAAAAATAAATCTTGAAGCTTCTGTCCAGGCAAGCTAAGAATTGTTTCATCAAAGTGAATAGCAAGAAGGCAAAAACAACAATGATAATGATGACTGAGTAATTTTCAGTTAGGCTCTGTTTGAATGTCTCATAGGACACTGATCTGAACAAACAAGGAATTTGAGAAAAAAAAAAACCCTGCAGGAAAGCAAAATGATAGTGTCTTATTCAATGTCAATTACCTGTTTTTTCACATTGTCTTCTCACTGTGAGCATAAAACTTTTGATCTCTTCCGTATCCACTGAGCCTGAAACAATTCTGGTGTAGTTCAAGGAAAATGTCATATCAACTTCTCCCTCAGTAGTACCAGGACAGTAGAAGGAAACCTGAAAGGCTGTGAGACAAAACAACATGACAAATCAGTACATTTTATTCAGGAAAGTACAATTCTGAAAAAAAATTGAAAAAAAAAAAAAAAAAAAAAAAAAAAAAAAAAAAAAAAAAAAAAAAAAAAAAACATTCACTCACTCCACCCTGGGATGCCAATTAATAATTAAGAAAATATGACTTCATTGTGTGAAGAATTTGTAAGAAGCAACAGGTCCCTTCAGAAAGTTTTTGCCTTTCCCTTTGACAAGAATCGCATTCTGGAAGCAAGAACGCTTTCTATGCAACTGCTTGCAAGAGAGAAGGAAGTATCTTTGTAAAGATACTATGAAAAACTTAGTTGAAATTCAGTTTTAGCAAGGATCTTCCTTGTTTGTAGCGTATATACTTATAAACTGTACCTTGTACAGGACATTTAGTCCATTGATAATCATTTTCCTTATCAAGTATACTTTCCCCCCCTCCCATGTTTCAAACTATTTCTTGGAGAGTACTTATCAAGGTAACTTAAAATGCTAACAAAACATGTTAAGATGCACTCTCACTGCATGTATTGTACTAACTTCTTCTGCTAGCAAACAAACAAACATATGGATCACTTTAAAATTCAGTGTTTGTATAAAACACTAAAATGTGAACCTGTAAAGACAGGTCATTCACACCTTTTTGAGATTGTGGAACAATTCCTTCCAAAGGAGTGGCTGCATGAGGATCAGGCATGATACTATGATCACTTGATTTGAAGTTCATGCTATAGTGTGAGACCTGTAAAAGAAGACATCATCAATTCCGTAACCACCACATATCCAAGATCTAGCAAGCGATCCTCTGCACAGTTTACCATACACATCTTATAATTTTGCTTCTGAGAGATTGTTGCTGAATCATACAGAATTTCCCAAAAGATATGTGGAGAAATTCCTCTTATGTATCCTCTGAGAGTGAAAAAGTTAATTCTAAGGAAAGATCCACCTTTGAAATAGCTCTGTGTACTCAGTTTAGTTATCAGGAGAACAAGAGAAAAGTGTGTTAATCACTTGCCTCCTGCTTGTGAGTAACAGACTTAAAGAGTATCTCTGCTATTTCATAATATCAGGTGAACATGGGAGGATGAAATTGTCACCAATGGTTCAAAACCTCTTATTTTCACCAATTCCAACCCACTGTGCGAGCAGAAATTTATTTAAAAAAACTGAAGAACAGAATAGAATATTAAAGCTGTTTGGTTTTGAAAATTGCATTTGATACAATCCTCAAAGTAGTTTTCCAGCTTATTTAGATATTTTGTTACAACCCAACAATTTCCTGCCAGTATGCTCACATGCAAATTTACACCATTTTAATTTTTTCAATCCTTTAACTCCCTGGGGTGATTAATAAAGAACTTCTCCCCATAATAATCATACATTATCCTGCAAACAGGTATTCAGAATACTCCAACGTGTCTGGTAGAAGTTTTTATTTTGATCTAACACTAAATTCTCATCACTGATTCAAGGAAATGTGTAGCAGATAGAGGGGAGAATTAACAATCAGATCTTAGGAGTTAAAGGGTTAAAGTGAATAAACTCCTAAAAAAATCAAGTGTTATCTCTTCTTTTGAAATAATTAATTTCAGCCAAGGCTTTTTGGACAAAGCCCTGAAACAATATCATCAGAGGACCTTTAAGTTATTGCAACACTACCTCTTTATGCTTGATTGTTAAAACTAAGACATGTTTGAAAATCAAACAATTCAGACTGAAATTTCCCAATAGAGTTATGTTGATTGTAGCTCTCGCACAGAATCTTAAATGGAAGCCACTGAATCTGTGGTTTCATGATTGATCAATTTCTCAAGTTATTTTGCTTTGGCAAAAAAAAAGGATATTTAAGTTGTGTAACTGACACCATAAACATTAAATTGTTTCTTGAGAGTCAAATATTCAACTTGTAGCATAATAGGAAATGCCATTATGGATGAAATGATTATAATGGACGCCAACTTTATTGCAAACCAAGTGGTTAGACTAAATGACTACTCGTTATTGTTTTGTTTTCCTCTGCTTGGCAAGGTGCCTTCATCACATCTTAAATCGTACCCTACCGTGCCTTAACAAGCTTTTGGCTTATCAAGTTGATATTGTTCAGCTGTTTCCTCCGCAATCTTGAATTATCCATGATAAAAACAAGCTTTTACGTGCCTTTCAGAGGCCACAACAGGAAACGCTCGAGCCCAACGGAACTACACTAAAATCCAATTCTGAAGGCTCGCAGTTCAAGGAGTAGGAAATGATATTGTGGCAAGATCACGTTTGAATGATTTAACGGGAGCAAATAATTAGAAAACCACTGGAAAACGGACATTTTACAGACTTGCCTCTGCTAAATCTTCTTAAAGAACAATAAACACAACCACATGCATTCCTAAAGTTCATTGCCAATTCTAAGCTTAGAATATTGGCGTAAAAAAATCAACGGCATTATCCCCCAGAGTCATATTCTAGATTGCCTTTTCGACAGAAATTTTCCAGACATCAGCATACATCACATTTTTTGATAAAATGCTCCAAATGGCTTGTCCGATCGCTTACAATTTGAAAAACACCACATTACAATTCCATTCATTCAAGACAGAGAGCGATCAGTCCGGCTTAAATAAACAACGACAAATACTTAATGGTCCACGCTAAAACCGTCAACACGAAACCCTTAGATCGCCGATATCGTTAATACCTTTCATTTGATTCCTTCAAAGCTTAGAACAGGAAGATCTGAAGCATTCAGCACTCGAACCGAAGAAAGAATTGCCGATTTTCGATCGTTAAGAATCATTGCTAAGCGAACAATAGGGGAAGAAAGAATGCATTCCGGCCATGCAAAACAAAATACCCCGATTCTTCGTGTTTATAATATTGGCGTTTTTGGCAAAGTTTTCTTCATCAGAACGACTCTTCAATGATGAAAATGTTTTCTGGAACATAATCATCTGATTTCTAAGACGAAAATAGTTCGCGGAACGTCACATGAATGAAGTAAGATGACAAAAAAATACACTACAAAATTAGCATTGCGTAAAGTGGAGTATTGTGCTACTAGAGTGCTAAGAGAACCCTTTCATTCAAATGATCAGAAACGCACGGAAATCTTTCTTTCCTCCTCAATTTGAGGCACAAACTAAAATAAATAATAACTATGACTAAACACTAACCCGAAGTCGACAAATCATTCACAGAGACAGGCTGATGGACTTTGTTCGACTTCAGTGAGAATCAAAACACCCAACAATCGTATATATATATATCACTCCCGCTTATCACGTCGTACTCACCTGCGGAGATGAAAACCAGCTTAGCTGAATCGTTGAAACCGATGAATCTAACGGTGACATAAAACGATAAAATGCACCAGGATTCTGCACCATAGTGTTTGGTTCTCCATCGCGAATGAGGTACAATCTTCCCTGGAAGTTCATCTCTGAAATACAGAATAAGCCATCGCGAATGATTCTTCTCCCTCGATCCACATGGTTTGCGAACTATTTACAAACTTGCTACCTTTCTTGAAAGACATATACTCACTTAGATGTGTGTTGGCATCCTCCTTTGTAATAAACAGATGCAACTGAGCTGTTGCTCGCTGTAGAATGGAGCAAAACACTAAAAGGACAACCAAGTATGACCACGTTGTAGATCGATGACCCACGAACCAGATTGTGTACATGTTTACGAGCGAAAAGGCCTCACAAGTTACGCATCCAGTGCACGTTTGAATCTCTTAAGTAACCTTTCCCCTAAATGTCGGATGATGTAGCATGTTCCGGGACTAATTTGAACATGTCTAGTTAAGTATTCTGGACCTTCCAATACCGTACCAAATTTCAAAACATGAATCCCGATGACGCACTACAGAAATTCTAGTTGGGTAAGTGTAGCTGCTCTCCTTGGTGGGGCAAGGTTTGACGTCATTATCCCGTGGCCCAATAACTCGCAGCTATCGATTGGAAATCGATTGCTGTACGTGCTCCGAAAACAAAAGAACCTGTCATCATTTGGCGCGTTTTGTGTTAATGAAACAACTGAGTCAACGAATTTCCGGTAAAACGAGTTTGCACTTTAATCACGTGCGTGATAGCCTAGTCAGTAATATTACCTATGCGGTCATCGCCATTTTGAGCATCGGATAAAGATGGAAAAAGTGTACACTCCAAAAACACAGAACTACCCGTTCTCGAAAGGATGCTGTACTCTCTAAACTCAAGTGTTACGATTACAAAGATTTAACAACGGAAAAAGGATACTTCAACTATCTTCATGGAATACGTTTTGGATACTAATTTAAACGGGTCTGAGCTCCGAAACAAATAATAGTATTTTGACAACATATGACCGTGTTAACTTGCTAATACTCGTACTACCATTTCATTAACTTAATTCATTTAACATCACCATTCTAAACTTTAACGGGACAGAACTGCCCATAAAAAATAAAATAATAATGAAAAATAATAAACAACAACAGCAACAACAATAACAACACGAGACGCGAGAAAAAAAATTACGCAAGATGTGGTAACCCTTGGTTTACTTGAGGCTTTTAAGAATCTTTTTTTCAAGTGAGGCGGTGGACAAAGCCGTGTCTTTCCAGTAATTTTTTTTTCGACCCCTGGGAACGAAGTTACTGTCGTTGCTCTGTGGAATAAAAAAAAAGGAAAGCTGTTTGGATGCCTCTAAAGTGCCTGTCCTTGGAGCGCTTTGTGGACAGCAGACAGACTCTAAAATGATGGAGAATAAAAAATTATGAGAGGAAAGAGTTGAAATGACCCTCACTGCACTTTACATCAATAGACCCACTGTTTTCAGGAAACAGGAAATTTTACCCACTCAACAATGGACTAAGGAAGAGGGAAGTCATTCGACATTTCATACTATGTAACTCAATATAAAAATCTTGTTTCTCTCTTAAAGGGCAATCTTTTTTTGGAATCGGTTACAAAAATATTTTTGTAATGATGTGGGGTCAGTTTGTGGATCTCATCTGAGACGAGCCTGTTACGCAAGGCAGTGGCTTGATAAGTAACGGCGCTGCTAAATGATATCACGGGACAAGAAGCTGACGTGCGGAAATCTGACTCGTTGCAAAATGTTTGTCACCCAAAATTGACAAAATTTTCAGTGAGCGTAGTAACATTCGTCAATGCCACCTCCAGGCTTTTCGGAGCTTTTTCGGTCCCTTTTCATAATCAGTTTCAAACAGTTTAGCTTTTTAAGAACAGTTTTATCAGCTTCAAAATGTGAAATCTTCAATCGCTCGATACCTCCTGAGACTCCGGAAGGTTGAAACTAAGGAATAACACGGAGTTTCATCCCAGCAATTTACGTTGCAGCGCTGCTATTTATGGACCTCTGTGAAAGATGCCAAAATTCCCAGCACTTTACATATATCAGAGTTGTTCGGATCTACGAAGAATTATCTTATACGTATCTAAGACCGTGACTTTTCTGATCAGGAAAAATGAAGCAACAAATCATTCTCGTTTTGCGCGTACAAATCAATCCATGGAGATGGAAACCATCTTTCGCTCACTTAAACGAAAAGCTCGCAGATTCAGAGAAATCTGAATAAAATAATCCATTGTGCCCTTAAAAAAAACAGGACTGGTCGGGAGAATTATCCTTTTTATTTTATGTATTATAGATTTGCTTCAGGGGTTTTCAATAATGGTGTCTGTCATGAGGGGTGGCCATGCCATGCCGATGCTCTTGGTGAAATATTGCGAGACTAGTACTTTTCCTACACGGGCGACTCTGACTAGACTGCGAAAGTCTTCAGAAGTGTTGACAAGCCTTGTCACTCTTATCTGAGCTCAGCTTATTTTGTTTTCTCCTGGCTGTTGGACTGTTGGATCTCTTTCTACGAAGCATTATATTTGGCTATCAAATCTATAGGGGTTCAGTGAAAAAAATATTTGCCACACTCCGAGGCAGACAGTCTTCGTTCACAATTATAGACTAAAAAAGGAAAAAGAAAAAAAAGTCCGACGATTCCGCGAGACACACCGATACGAAAATTGAAAACGCATAGAAGCCCTATCTAACGACAATTTGCGAGACCCTTGACCTTACAAGTTTTTTAACAGAGTCAGAGATCGCGAGAATTCGCCACGTCTAACTCATAAATTATAGTTTGATGACATGTTTAAAGTGTAGCATTCTGAAAGTTTTAGATATAGACGGCGGGAGTGGAACTTGAGGGCCAGATCAGCTTGCACAGCCAACGTTTCCGTAGCCTGGGGAGCAGTACACGGGATATTGGATCAGTTTCCTTTCAGGTCGAACTCTCGCAAGATTATTGGGCGCAGTTTCTAATTTTTGGGCCCGCCTTCGCTGTATGCCTTCGCGCTTATCCGCAAAGTTAATGGTAAACAATTTTATTCAAGGTATATATCAAGGTATATATTACTAGATTCGCCATTAATATTAAAAATTAAATCTGGGAACGTTTCGTTTCAGGAATAATTACGCAACAACATACTGACCAGTAAGCTATAGTAGACGCACGCCATAAACGATGTATATTTTGCTTTGGGTAAGGCTTTTACCAGGCCTGTCTTTTGTTCTCACAAAATCATATGCCTTTGGGTCACAAAACAGAGACAGTGAATAGGGGTGATTTTTATTGTTAAAGCCAGATGAAACAATGGCTCCTGGCCAATTAGCCAGATGCATCGCTCAGAAACCAGGCACAAAGCCAAGTCAAGAGCTTATCTGAAACACCGTTCTGAGTAAACAAACACTACATACGGGAAACGGAAGCCTCAGGTAGATATAGTAGCTTAATGCATGAAGGAAAATTTGGAATAACATGTGTCAATTTCAATTCCGGAGCAACAAGAACTTGCTCAGACTCGCGGCAAGTAGGAACTTGTTTAAGGCTTAATACTCAACACGCCAAACATATGGAAAAAAAGAGTTGCAAAAAAGAGGTTAATTCACTTGTAAGCAGGGTCTCTTTTTACCTGAAGGAGAACGTCCTCTTGTGTGGATCGATGATGTGATAAAACTACGGGATTAGTGGTTTGGATCACTATTTGCCCAGGGTGGGGTGGGTACTCCTTAGAGTTCTTCCTGGGGAGACGCCGCTCAGTTCTTCAAATCCTGACTCTGTACACCTTTTTCAGATCCGTACCAGGTTTCAGTCGTAGTCTCTAAACTTTAAACAAATATTTACGCTTTGTTTTAGCTCGAATCATGCTTTCTGGTTACTTTCTTGTTCTCAATTATTTATTTGAAGTTGAAAACTGAGACAACCATCTCAATGCACTTTTCTGGTTCGGACACGACATCTACGAAAAAAGACCTATTAGTGAATATTAGACAACAATGAAGGAAGTCACTGAAATAGCTAACTTTTAATCTAATCGAATGGTTTGGTTAAGTGAATCTGAAAAAGCCAAAAAAAGAGAAAAACTCATGGCTAACAATATTACAGCTTGAGGGGCAACACTTTAATATTTTGCGTGAGATTTTATATACCTGTTCCACGTGGCTAACAAGTGAAGACAGGTATTAGACGCGTGCACAACACATCACATACCAGTAAAAAGAAGAAAAAGTCGTCAATATTGTTTTTGATACAATGGATGTTTTGTACATGAGAGTTACAGTCGGCCGTTTAGTCAGTGTAATTACTAACCTGTTCCAGGTGCTCGCGTAGCAAAAAGAGCGTAAAATTAAGGAAACGATAGGCTACTAACGGAAAATCGAAAACGAGGAATGTTTGGGCCAATTCACAAATCTCACTCGTTTGCTCACTCCTCTGTTACTGTCGCAACGTTTACTATCACGCTTCGTTTTACTACAGTGGCGTAGCCAGAATTTTTCAAAGGAGGAGGGGGGGGGGGAATGGTCACGCTGTGTCAAAAAGAGGGTACTCCACCAGATTGTCATGTCAACCTCCACGCCGTGTTTTACTTGATGTGACAAATAAAGGCTTACAAAGAGGAGGTCACGAGCACCCTACGAACCCCCCTCCGCTAGCTCTGCCCTTGTACTAACTGAACGCTTGAAACAGGCTTTGTTATCCCCTTGGTAAGAAATAATCGGCAAATAATTGTTATCGCTGATAGCTCCAACTTACCGAGCAGACGTCACAAACAAAGACAACTTCACTCTGATGCTCAGACTTCTTTACAGGTTGTCGGGGGGTGAGGCTAGTGCGGAGAGAAAATAATCTCATACCCAGATTCTACTGTGTAACTGTAACTTACAACTGCGTGGCTGTGAAAGGTCTGTGTATGAGATTAGGGAGAGAACTCGCGCAAGCGGTGGGCAGCTTGTTTAAATCGTTGGGTGACCTTAGGAGGTTACAATGGCAAACTCTCTTAAACAATTTCAGGACTGGATGGTGTTCTCGAGTAACGCGGAAAGTTTTTCGTCTGCTTTATCCAATGAACCATCTGAATTGTGGACGGAATGATCGCACAATTCCCCCCCTCAAACCCATTCCGATGGTTTTTTTTCTTTTGGTATACGCATCTTCAGCCATGCTCTGTGAGAATAATGGTGATGGTGGTGGGAGG